CGACGCCAGGGCAAACAAAATTGGCAGTGGAAGAATATCAAGTCCAAGCTCCAAAAATCCAGTAGCAAATTTGACCAAAACTCTCAGTAAACCCTTCTGGGGTCAATCATACATGTTTCAAATTGGACTCTTACTTGAAAGAGCAATTCTAGGAACCCCGACAACATTCTATGAAACAAAAAACTTTTGAAAGGGCAACAGATCTGCTAACTCCAATTTCAACATCATTGGTGGTACTATTAATTCTAAATTTCTGGCTATAAATTATTACGTGGGGGAAAGCTTCTCCAAAATTTGATTCATTTTACATCATTTAGAGAAATTCAAATCAATGGTCCAATAACTTAATCACTCATGGAATTCCTAGCTTCTAAGTCACTAATGAGCATAAGAGAAGCATTAACCATACATGTGCTTCGGTGTGGGTGTGTGTACATGCCTTGTATGCAATAAAAAAAAATATGAAGTAAAACCATTCATGGGGCCTTACTTAAGAGCTTCAGATTTTTTTTCAGTTGAGTGATTCTTAACCCTTTAAAGAGTGGTGGGCCTGCTCAAGTTTCAAGTCTGGAAAACTTGCATGAGAGGGGTGTAAGAGCATACAATATGAAATCATTCTTGGGACCCTGCCTAAAATATAAGCTTTTGGGTTGAGTGGTTCTTTGACAATAAACATATATATATATGTTTTAAGCAAATCAATTGATGCAAAATAGAGGTTCAGAACCTGCTGAAAAGTAGGTGATCGTTTGTATTCTTCAGTTTCCTGTCAAACCTGCAATAAAAATAATTGTTGAAGAAACATCAAGCTAAAGTTTGAATTTTTTAACAACAGAGATGCATAAACATAGGTATTGACTTCAGTGTAAAGACTAATGAGTACCATGATACAGAAGTTAAAATTGTAATGATTTTTTTTTTTCAGAATAAAGAGTTGTGAAATTGAGGAAACATGATTGATGAACTCAATTATACAGTTCGTAAGAATGTTCCCATGGTGCATTAGCAACACATAACAAGGTCATTCTAACAAATGCGATAAACTTCCTTCATAAAGTTATTCCTTCCATCTCTCAACATTGCCAAACCAAGATTTTTCTTTTTTTTTTTGTACAACTATGGGAGTTGGTTATTAGTTGTTACCAGTTAAGAAAGGGGACTAAATTGACCAGTCATTAAAGTTGTGGGGCTAAACTTCCACCAATGGGAAACAGAAAATATGAAGAATCGTGACTCAAACCAAGCACCTTCTCACATAATGCAAAGAGGTTCTACCACTTGCAGCAAACCGCAGGCAGTCAAAACCAGAAAGCTGAACAAAGAAAGCTACTGATATAACATGATTGTAGTAACTAGTAAGAACACTGCCAGAGTACTGTCATAGTTTTGCTTATTCATGAAAATGGAATCTATCACTAACCATATGTGAACATTAATAACAGGAACTCCAACTAATTTCTCCAGTTTCTTGAAGTAAGGAATCTCTTTCCAGTTCTCAGGCAAAAGAAGCTTCAAGGTATCAACTGGTTGGAGCAACATACGTTATCAATATTAGAGAACAGGAATTAAAAATTATACTATCTATATATTGTAATGGGAAAGGTCAAGTATACCTGGAGTGGCAAACACATAAACATCCCCTTCAATCACATCCCCAGTATTTAGTAAAAAGCTCTTCACTGTTCCATCATCATTTAGTTCAATTTTCTTTATCCGAGAATTAAGCTTGACTTCACCACCACGTGACTGAATATGATCAACAATTGGCATGCAGAGCCTCTCTGGGGGATTACCATCCAAGAAAGCCATCTTTGAACCATGTTTCTCCTGTTGAGGATTGACAAAATTCTATTATTAGAAAAAATGTTTTCTGATAGCTTATAAAAAATACAGGGCATGCATGTTCAATCATGTATAGACCTATTCATGAACCCAAATACATCATTTGTAGGTCACAAAAAGAAATTGCAAGGAAAATTCTCACTTCACTAAGTTTGAATTATTTACAAGTTTAGCACGCTCTTCAAACTTACAGAGTATACTTCTACCTTTGAAATATAAAGGAAATAGAAATTAAGGTAAAAAAAAAGGTAAATTAAAATTACAGAATTTTATTCTATTTTGAGTTAGGTGCTTTGGAGCTCCTTCATCGGTACCAATGTGATTGTTATATGTTGTTCGAGTTTAATCTTTTTTCTGACTTTATATAGCGAGTAAATAATGCAGAATATGCATTTAGGTGTTGGTTAAAAATATCTTGACATGGAATTTTGATTTTTAAATAATGCAGAATATGCATTTAGGTGTTAGTTGACAATATCTTGACATGGAATTTTGAAAGTTATTTTTCATTTTGATTTTGTTCAAGTATTAAGAATATAATTAAGTAAATTTGAAAATTAAATCTTATATGTATATAGAGCTTAGGTTCTGAGGACATGCACCTTAAGTCTTCAAATTTTAAAATCATTTTTCTTTTAAATTAAATCATGTACGTGCAGCATAAAAAGAGTTCCTTTAGTTAGTATATGTGTATTTGCATGTGATTAGTTATCATAATTAATGAAGTATGGATTATGATTCGATTTGTGAATATCTAACAAAATAAGGTTCTGATTAATGGATTTGATTACTAATTTTCATATGATAAGAACAGATTTTACAGAGCTACATATTATTAGGACACCTATCACTAA